GCTTTGTCCGACCCGTCGCGCCCCGCATCCCTTCTCCATCTCCTCCGCTCAGCTGTCTTTCCTCCGGTGCCCCTTTGTTGTGCCCCTCTCTGTTCGGTGCTCAGTGACCTGCCACAGCCCAGGGACCAGGTTTCTGTCTTTTAATTTTTCTCCCATTATTTTTTATCATGCTTTCCCTCTCACCTTTCTGTTTGGTTCTTGATCACCCCCGGAGGCTTTGTCTCCCCCATCCAGGGGCTTATTCGCTTGGCACCCTCCTTCCCCTCCCATCATCGGTTGATTTATCCACTACCCACGGTGTTTGTCGGCTCAACTGTCTCAGCCCCGGGGACTCCATCTGGTGCTTCTACGTGCAGACGGACCCTACGGTTTGTTGTTGTTTTTGTGGGTTTGAAAGATGTGGGGGGATACTAGTTTCCTCCTCCGCGCTCCTCTTCTCCGCACCCTTTTCTCTCGGGACTGCGTGCACACCTCCCCACCACCCCTTTCTCTGTGGATTACAATGTCTTCAGTTTTCTCCCCGGTCTCTTTGGGCCCGTGGTTGTTTTGCTTGGAAACAGTAGCCCTGGAAAAAGATCTGGTCTCTTGGTTATTGGCCCCCGCCCCTTGGTTTCTGACGGCCTAGGCCAAGGGCAGCTGTTTTAGCTGTGCATCTGGATTACCTGAGGGTATTGTAGGACGGTTAGAAGAGGCGTAAGGTGTTTTTAATCTGATGATGTGTGAGAATAGTTGCAGATACTCACATTGGATATTTATTATGTATGTCCGTAGCAGTTGAGTGATTTTCGGCATTTAAAAACTTGTGAATGTTGGAATGGAGAATTTCAGCGTTTTCAAGACTTTACTTCTAGAGTTATTTTACCAGTAACTCATGCTTCGTAAGGAAAAAGAGAGGGCATCCTGCTTATGAATTTTGATGTTTTACGCTTTCTTACTTTTTAGATAGTTTGCAATTACGTGCTTTTGCTGTGCAAATTTTTGACAACCCTTCTGACCCATCTTTGGAGTTGAAATGAGGAAAGCGCTTAAGAGTGCAGTTTGGGTTGATGAATACTGCTTCTAGAATCTTTGTGGAATGCATTAATCAAATATAATTAAAAGACTTTTAAGTAATAGTCTTAAGTAAGGTAAAGGCACTTCTAGAGTTAAAGGAGCTTTAATTTGTTCAGAGTGCTTATTGTAATGATATTGTTAAAAGCTTGAGTTTTGTGGCTGTGGGGTGGGGGAGGGTGATATAGTGTATTTAAATAGCCTGAATATTCTGGTACTGGGAATAGAGGTATTAGATTTACCGGAATTACTAGGCTGACTATGCTGTTCAGGAGGTCGTCCCCCACCCCGCAGTTGATCACTGCTTTTAGATGTTACTCATAAAATGATTTGGAGTGTCTTTTCATTATTAACTAAAGTTTACATGAAGTGCAGCTACTAGAGGCTATACAAGTGTGAGGAATGTTGGCAGAGTGGAAAGCTGCTTTTTTTTCTCAAAGACTGTGATTAGAATTAGTATGAGTTAGCTTGAATTTTAATTAATGGAAAATTACCTTTTATGATTGATACATGAGGCTTTTGTGGAAATTTGCAATCTAGGCTCCATGAGTGCGTTTTACTCGTAATCATTTGTCTCTCTTTTTCTTAGTGCAGAATCATTCTTTTGAAGGTAAAATCTTGAGCACACTGTTGTTTCTTACTGTAAGCAAAGTGTTAATACCTTGTAATGGAAGGTATTTTGCTCTGACTTGTACAGATAAGAATGGTCACGCAAACATAAGCAGCTTTCAAAAATCAAGTTGTACTTTTTGTTCCTAAATCATGTACGGCTTTTATTTTGTGATCAGGTAAAACAGTACCTTTATTAGATTATATCAAACAGCAGCATGTCTAGAAACAAACGGGACACCTTTCATTCAGAGTATTGATGATCAAAGCTTTAAATTTATTGTCCATGCATACTGCAGAGGGTATATTTCAGGAAAAAATATAAGAGGCTCACTTGGAGTATCTTCACACCGATTCTAATACATGGGTCTAGGTATTAGACTTTAAATAGATTTGTTTAAATGTTACCTGTTGTTCCATACTGACAGATCTCTATAGTGTCTTAAGTGACTAAGATAAAAATGATTTTATGTGGGAAAAAAGCCACTCTTGCCAGCTGTAATTCATTAAATAATCTTTGGCACTCAGGAGGGATAAAATATTAGGGAAAAAATGGTGTATTTGAAGGTTCTTACAAATCTTAATTGTGGTGTTCAGTCATTTTAAAAAATAAATTTTAAAAACCTAGGACTTGGCTTTAAAACATTATTTCACATTTTGCTTCCTTCTAATAGTAAATTTCATGTTATTTCAACTAGGGGCAGTATTTTCTCATGGATTGACTGAAAGTTGTTATTTTTGGCATTTGGCTTTGTGATTATTTCCAAGTTACTCTACTTCCCCTGGGCCAGTTTCCTAACTCTGTAGTAAAATGGGAATTGTAGTAACTTGCCACATCTGCACAGGATTGTTGTGCCTTAAGATTTGCAGAGAGCATCCTTGGATGAAAGGTGTGGTTAAAAGTCTAGGAATTGTTACTGAAATAAGTAGGTCATATTTTATAGGAAATCAAGTAGGAGGTTATGAACTAAGTTCTAAGTCACAGTGGTGATAGTGGGATAAAAAAACGAATATGTTTTATAGTTTGGGTAATAAAATAGATACTTTTTTTTAATAGAGGGGGATGGATAAGTCAAATTACAGGGTGGTGTGTGTGTTGTATAAGAGACTGAAGATCTGTCAAACTCAAATGTAATAACATTATAAAATTATGGAATGCTTTTCCTCTCTTGATTTCCTTTCTGCATGTGGTAATTTTTTTTAATGGTAGCATAAAATGTTTTCATTAGATTCTAGGCCAAATCTGTTAATAGTAATGACTAATTTTCAGTGTACCTTTTTTTAATGCTTTGTCATTTACACTCAAAGATATTTTCTAACAACCAGGGCCATATTTTCAGACTTAACCCTTGACCTAGGAAGGTGTTTTGCATTTGGGAGACACTATAGATATTTATTGAACAAACAAAACCTGTTGCTTCTCTGTTCCTGGTAGATGATGTCGTGTCCCAGTAGTTCCCCAAGCCAGGTTTCTGTATTTCTCTCTCACACTAACCCTTTACATTTATATAATCACTAAGAACTGATAATTTTCCCTACTGAAAAATCTCTTTAATCTGTCTCCTTCATCCTCATTGCCACAGTTTGTGCTCTCATCATTTCTCACCTGGATTACTACAGACGTTGGCCGCTTCCTCTTTGTGCTTCTAGACTCACCCTCTTTATCCCACTTCCACAGAGTCTTTCTAAAGAGCAAATCTGATCACTTCACTCCTTAGTTTAAAAACCTTTCAATGGCTCCCCCTAGCAGCCTTCATTAAGAGAGGCAGCGGAGTAGAGAATTTATGAGCTCACATTTAGGATTTAATCTGAACTGGGTTCCAGTTCTGTCTCTGCCATTTAAAACCTCTGTAATTGACAAGCAATCTCACCTCTCTTGCCTCCTCCATCAGTTGCAAGGTAATTATTCTTAGCTCAGTGTGTTGCTGTGAGTATTAAGCCCAGGAAAACGTTTTAGGACGCCTGGCACATAGCAAGTGCTCAAAAAATGTTAACTGTCATGGCATAGAGGGTTCTCTATAACTATTTCATTTACCTTTCCTCCAGTTGAACTGTTTGTCTTTCTCTCCTTTCATATTCAATTCTCCATCCGTATTTAAGAACTTGGAGTTCCTTGCATGGCCTCAGCAGTTTACTGTATCCCTGTGCTTGAAAAGTGCTGGTGTTAGTAGGTTATTAGTCAAGATTTCTATCTGAGGATACTCTAACCAGATCCGCCAGGCTGGGTTCATTGCCCCTCCTGTGGGTTCTTAAAGAACTGAGTATAATTCTCTTGGAAGTGTCATACTGAATTGTAATTGTCATACCCAAAGGCTGTTGCTTACCTGATGGCAGATAGCATTTAAAAAAAATCATTTATATATTCTTATCCTTAAAAGAGTGTCTCGAACATGATAGGGACTCAGTAAAAAGGTTTTTTGAACAGAGGATTCAGAGTACTTTGAAACCTTGATACAACACAGTTTGTATAAGCAGCAGTTGATGTATACAGGGAATATATTGATTCTATAGGGAATTTAATTGCTGAAGTACCCAAAGGAGTTAATATTTTCTGCTATAGGCAGTCTTATCGCTCCTGTGAACATTGTATTAAAACTCGTAGGCAGAAGTTCCTTTTGGGTTATTAAAAAATACTGTATTGTTTATACAAACTGACAAGTTTAAATACCACATTTTGTTTTTTGTATGGTGGACTATCCAGTGTTTCTCAAAAGTTTCCATTATTTTTAAGTAATTCTTAGATGCATAGGAATGTACATTAAGACACCACAGCCTTTTTTTGTGGGGGGGAGGATCCATGCCTTCGAACCAAATAATAAATTGATAATCTTCAGGAAGACTCAGGTTTTGTGGACAGATTATTTATAGATAATTTCTCGAAGCTTCAGGTTCTACCTCTATAAAGTAGG